ATGATAACCGAGGACGAGCTCCCACCCTATGATAGGGTGCTTCTCAGTAAGGTGAGATACTTATATTTTTCCGAGTAGTCAATTATTGGGACACTGCAGATGTTACTTGAGTGGAGATTGTGCTTGATTCAAAGTTTAAAGACTAGGTGTTTTGTTTAAGGTAATTTTCTTCCTTATTCTTTAACAATCAAAGGGTTTGCTAAACTTGGCGAGTTTCTATAGCAAGGCGATCAGGCAAAGAATAGGTTTAGCATAAAGTGTCACATAAGAAATATAGATTTTTTGGAAATCATCATTCAAGAGGATATGCAGAAAATGTGTTACTGCTGCTACTCTCAAAGACGATCTTGAATACTTTTGTTTCGTAGAAAATTTCTATAGACTAAAATTTCACGAGAAAACCGAACTGCTGATGAAAAAGTATTCTGCTCTAGTCACAACGACCTATCAGCAGAACATAATAGATTTATTTAACAACGGTAAACATTGAATGGTAATTACATATTGAGTCCTATTTTTTCCTACAGAGAAATTGAAATTGGTGGTATTGCAGAAGCCAGCAGCTGAAGGGAAAGATGTACGTCTGCGAACTGATGATTACTACAAAGAGAACTTCATCAACGTAATAACCCATTCTAAGGTATGTTCCGTACTAGAACATTTTGTTATGCGAATGTAAGTGAGAAAATTAAAATATTGCTAAGGTCACCGGATTAGACCTTTCTCACCGCAAGGTGGAACTTTGGACTGGTGACACAATGCAATACACTAAACTGGTGTTGGCTTTAGGAGGAGAACCGAGAAAACTATCTTGTCCCGGAGCAGATCTTAAGGTTGAGTCAAGCTTACCCTCACTTCTAAGAGCAGCCTTCTCGGCGTTATAATCGAACATTTGAAATCAAAAATTTTAGAATGTTTACACTCTACGAGGTGTGTTCGAAGCAAATACCATTGCTGCACAGTCTGTAGGAAAAAATGTGGTTTGCATTGGCGGATCGTTCATAGGTTTGAAATT